AGACAGGGTTTCTCTGTGCAGTTTTGGTGCCTGTCCTCGAACTCACTTTGTAGACCAGGCTGGCTGGCTTCGAACTCACAGAGATCCACCTGGCTCTGCCTCCCGAGTACTGGGATTAAAGGCGTGCGCCACCACTGCCCGGCGGCGACCACTATTTATAAAGAGAAGTTCGTAGGCTACAACTAAGTCTATAACTGTGACATACTACTGAGCTATGCCAGTCCTTGGCATACACCTAAAATTCCCAGCATCCTACTACAGAGACACTTGCTCAGCAGTGTTTGTTTTTGTTCTGTTCCCAATAGCTAGGAAATGGAAACAGCCTAAATGTCCTTCAGTTGATGAATGAGTGTGAACATCTGATATCTGTCCACAATAGAGTCTATTTGTCTGTAAAGGAAGAAATGAAATCACGAAATTCTCAGGGAAATAGGTGGAACTGGAAAATACGCTGAGCAAGGGAATCCAGACCCAGAAAGAGAAATGGCCGCATGTCCTCTCTTAGCTGCAGATACTAGCTCTGAATCTTTAGATTTGAGTGTATAACCTGCGTGACTGCAGGGGCTAGGGAAGTGGAAAGGGACCATGGGGAGAGGAGGGAGAAGAAGAGGAGGGAGAGGAAGAGGAGGGAGAGGAAGAGGAGGGAGAGGAAGAGGAGGCTGTAGGACACAGGTACCATGGAGGGGGAATTGGGATAAACAATGGCAGAGGGACTTTGAGGGGAGAGAGAGGATAATACAGAAGGAGAAGGAGGAAGAAAAGAAAACACTAAAGATGTTTGAAAAACTCAGAGAACTTTTTTTATGTTTCCTTGAAATCCATATGATATCTTGTCACACACACACATACACACACAGAGAGAGAGAGAGAGAGAGAGAGAGAGAGAGAGATTCTTTTAAATAGAACTACACATGAGGTGATAATGCTTCCCCAAGAGACATAGACTATCTAACAAAACTCCAGTGCCATGCATGGGGAGTCTCCTTTTGAGTTGTGGATCAGGGGGGTTCAAGAGACCCCGAAAGCAATCTAGACAAATGTCATTGCCCTTGGGTATTCCAGAACATGGAGTTGAGACCCCATTGCTGAGGAGCTCACATACTTTGGACATTGGACTTGGAGGAATGGAGATGGAGCTGACCTGTATGTCCCCTCCTTGAGGACTAAGTCTCAGAGGATAGGAAGGTGCTATATTAGCTGCCAATGGGAAAATCAACAAACAAAAACAATCAACAGCTCTACCTAGCTATAAAGCTTATAAACCACAACTATGACTGGCTCAGCAAGATATTGTGAATGTTCCAATAGTAGCCTTTTTCTCTTGGGAGCAACTGGTAACT